TCTTAGAACAGAACAAAAGGCTTTACTTTCTTGAAACGTTTCTACAAGTCTTTGTGTTTGAAACTTTGTGCTTTAGGTTCTAAGTGTTGCTAATCTCTACAGAAAGATTATCAATTACACTAAGAGAGATAAGAATTTGATTAATTAACGACTAGACGACTGAACTAGTCAGTTATTAGTGATTAGTTGGCTAGAAATTAGTGATTGGCCGAGCTCAATCCTTGTCATTATTAAATTGTATAGTCGTTCAAATTCAGGTCCGACTATTTTAATAAAATGTGTATATCAAAATTAGGTTACTAATTAGCAACCGGTGGGGGTGATTGTGTTGTATCTCTCATGGACCACATCAGTTTAGCGTATGGTACTAATTTGTTGGTGATGAGATGACACATGTGACCATGTAGTTATATAAAGTTGGGTTTAAAATTGTAATGGTGGTCCAAAATCCAAACCTACTCCATTTGCAACACTTTATCAATTGTTATAAAACGAAATAAACAAGTTCCTCACATAAACCAACGATTTCTTCTTCATAGTTCATATCAACAGAAATGATATAATATTGCAAATACAACAATGACGATTAAATTACTCATAACATAAAATAAATGATGAATGATATAAGTCCCAGCGAAAGAAGAGAACACGACGAAACAGCTGTTCCTCCTACACAATAACAACAAAAGTAAAAATTAATCTTTGGTCAGAAAATTCCTTGTTCTGATAAAAAAAAATGCAAATCGAAAATGGAAAATATCTCATGATGTTATACTAGAATCGTATTATTCGATATTTTTTCGAACATGTTACAAAGTGAATAGTTATAACATCTTACTCATTTCTTATCAAGGTGATGGGGGTAGTCTTATAACTTATAGAATGTGGTTCACCTAACATATACTTAATTTCCTAGTGAAAAACAAATATAACTCAACTAAATAAAAAATGATTCTCTTAAATCTCGTTCTATGGCCATTACATGTACGCATGTATGTTTTATATAATGTTATTAAGATAAT